CCTTCCTTCCCACCCAGCTCTCTAACACTGAAGTGTGTGTGTGGGGGGGGGTGTGGGTGTGGGTGTGTGTTTGGACCTCTGCCTATGTCTATGGGAGTGTGAATAATTGTGCTGGGAATCTTTTTGAATCTTCCCCTCCACAAATAAGGAGATCCTCCCCGGGACTCAAATACCACTCACACCCTCTGCCATATCCCTGACCCCTGAGTCTGCTGCTCTCCACAGTGGGGACAGCACCTTGGGAGGCAGCCTACAGTGTTCTCTCTCCTTGAATGCCCCATGTGTGAATTTGGAAGCTCCTGACTCCCTGGAATGGAGGTTCCTCCGCTTCTCCCAGATAGTATGGGTGTGGGTGGGGCTGGGCTTGGGAGAGAAGGGACATGATTTACTCTGTGCCATCCTTCTGTCCACAGGTGGATGAAAATTGAGGGAGGTGCCCCTGCGAAGTAAGTGTGGCTCCTCCCCTTCCCCCAAGTTGGCCAGTCTTTTTGCTCCTTGGGGAGGGGTTGCAGGGGGCGTGTTTAGAACCCAGAACCAGGGAGTAGGGAAAGGGCAGCAAGGTGACTCAGTTTTGGAAAAAAGTTTGCCCTGTCAGCCAGGTTTTTTTGCCTTCTCCGGCCTCAAGGCCAAAGGCCCAGACCCTTCTCCGCCCCTCTCCGCCAGTCTTACCCACCTTCCCTCTTCCAGGTTCAGAGGAAGCAGGGGTCTGAGGAAGAGGTCAAAAGGCTAAGAGATTTGTTGGATGTGATGGCAGTGGGGTGGGGGTTGTTGAAATTATCTCCCTCCTCTAAATCTTGGCTTCTTAATCTTGCTCTTTTGTGGAGCTCTTGTGAATCTTGGATGGGGCTAAGCTTCCTCATCGAACACGAGAGCCCAGAAAGACTGAATTCTGGGGATGGCCTTGGGACATTTTGGCTAGTTCATGCATCCACTTAGCCTATCCTAAGGGCCTTTGAGGAACTCAGCTCTGGGAGGATTCAGAGACTGAACAGGACACTGGCTGTGCCCTCAGCAGGCCTGACATTGGCACGGCAATACTAAGTGTCTGAACAGCATGAAGATGCTTCAGTGGTTTTCAGACCGTGTTCCAAGGAATGCTAGGATTCTGCGGTGGGGTTCAGGGGCTTCCCACACTTTTGATTTGAATTTCACTTTAAAAAAAAGGATAATTTAAACTATTTTAAAAGCAGAATTATAAACAACACACACCAAAGATTAGCATATCAGGAGACTATATTTTTACCTTTTAACTTTGGCTGCCAGGAGAGCTTGTTGTTTTGTTTAACTCTCAGAATAAAACTTCTCTCACTTTCTCTGTTGACCTAAAGAGAATCTTCAGATTGCAACTAGCTGCTAAGAAGTAAACAAAAACTAAATCCTGTTACTATTTACAGTTATTTATCTGTGTGAATCAGGGTTTTCTGAATATCACAAGACCAAAACAAAGTCTAAGAATAACCTGGGTACTGACACTGACCTCAGACTGTCACCATGATGTGTAATTCACATTTCACTTTGACAAGCTCATAAAAACAGCCCCATTTCCCTCACTGACTGACTTTATAATAAGCAGATTTTGAATGGGTATATTTATAGTAATAAAATACTGCTTTTACCTTTGTGTATTCAGACTTCATATACGATTAGTTTAGAGAAAGAAAACTTTCACTATTAAAAATAAAATTGAAAACCACTGCTGTGTGACAGAGACCACGAGGGCAGAGACCCCTCCTGTGGGTGTGGGAGTGGGAGAGAGACTGTTTCGGGGGAGGGGCAGCACAGACTCCAGACAGGGAGCTCCTTGAGGGCAGGGCCCTGTCTGTCGAGTGAAGATGTGAGTAAACAGAGACAGGAGGAGGACTGTGTAGGGGAGGCCACAGTGAGGCCACCTCTGTCAAGAAGGCACTGAACTTATAATGAACAGTAGGGGCACCAAGAAGGGACCTTGCCTTGCCCAGGGTCACATACTGAGTTAACGGCTGAGCTGAAAGTGTGGACCCAGGTGTCCATGCACTGCAAAGCTTGCCTTATGCCTACCTCAGCCTTCTCCTGGATTCACGGGGCCATCAGGCCACATGGTCACTGAGTCCCTCAGATGAACTCTGTCTTCATCTTCTGCATCCTTGTGACCGGCCAGGCAGGCCAGACCTTCGTGTTTGAAGCAGAGGCTCAGGGTGCTCACTCCCTCACCCCTGGGCCCTGCCAGGGGTCAGGGACAGAAGTGGACTGGTTCCCAGGCCGGGAAATCCTTAAATCCTTCTTCTTATCTAGGTGCTGGTCTGGGGTTGAGCTTCCTCCAGAAGAGACCTTGTTGGGTGGGACAGGTGACAGGGAGAGGCTGAGGGGGGCAGCTAAGGGGGGCTCAGGGCCCTAAATAGAATGAGGCAAGTGAGGCACCTTGGGTGCAAAATTTAAGGAGGAGTCACTCCTCCCTGCCCTGGGAGGGTGAGGCTTTTTGCCCTCCTCCACTTGCCCAGGCAGATGACAGGGTGAACCTGGCCCTGGGCACCAGGGGAGCTGCTGCTGAGGAAAACATCAAGGAGGGCAGGCGAGTGGTATTTAGGGCAGGCCAGGGTTGGTATGCCTCTGCACAGGGAGCTTGGAGCCACTCCCTTACTCTGACCTTGTCCCCCCCTCCACCATGCCACAGGGGCCAAGCAAGCCTTGAAAGGGAAGGTGGGGGTTCGGTCCATGGACCCCAGGCTTCCCTGCTGCTGGGGCAGACTTTAATCCCAGCCTTTGGCCCTGAAACATAGTTGAGGGCAGCAGAGCTTCAGGAAGCACAGGGCCGTGTGTATGTGTGTGTGTGTGTGTGTGTGTGTGTGTGTGTTTGTGTGTGAGTGAGAGACAGAGAGAAAGTGTGTGTATATGTGTGTAAGTGTGTGAGTTTTTGTGTGTGTGAGACTGAGTGTATGTGAGAGAATGTGTATGTTAGTGTGTGTGTGAGTGTGTGACATGTGTGTGAGTGTGTGTATGTGTGTGACTGTGAGAATGTGTGGAGCATATGTGTGTGAGAGTATGTGAGTGTATGTAAGACTGTGTTGTGTATGTGTGCGTGACTGTGTGGTATGTGAATGTGTGTATGTGTGCAAGAGAGTGTGGTGTGAGTGTGTGTGAGCGTGTATGTGTGAGTGTGTGGTATATGTGAGTGTGTGTGTGAGGTATGTGAGTGTGTATGTGAGAGAGTCCGTGTGAGAGTGTGTGCACACACAGGCTGGACCCACCTTCGCTAATTTTAGTTGTTGTGGTCCGGAGTTAGGGAGAGGGGTTTCCATCGGAATCCGCAGCTGTCCTGATTTCCCCATCTTGCTTGAATTAGCAACATGCCGGCTGGGAGGGGACTTGAGCTCACATTCTGTTCTCTGCTCTTATATTTTTAACTCTGTTTTGCAAAGAGAGAATGTTAGGTCACTGCAGGCTTGGGACGGGGAGGGAACAGGTGTAGGGGTCCACTGTCCCCTCCTGTCCTCTGGGCTTCAGAGCCTGTTGAGCACAGGAGGAGTATGTGTGGGGGATGGTGAGGAGAAGGCAACCCACTTGTCGTTTGTCTCCCTGACCTTGTGGTGTCTGTGGAGGCCAAGCCCCTTGACAGGATTTTTTCATTTGCTGTGTGCTGTGTGTACAAATAGTTGGGTAGTGGTGGGGCCTCGATGGACTGAGAGGAGCTCGTCGAGGAATGTCACCACTTTATTTGTGGTCTCCTCCAATCTGCGTTCACCTCTGGCTCCCCTTTCCTGTGTCTGTCAAAGGGGACGTTCTGCTCATCCTGGGACAAAGCGAGGCACTGTCTCCAGGACTTGGTTTTCTTGTCAGTGGGATGGAGAGAAGATTCCCTCTTATGTTCCACCCTGAGTCTGATTCTCAGGGTGACGTGGGAGGATGGGGAGAGAGGTTGGTCTGGAGAGGAGCTTGCCCTCCAGGGCTGTGCTCCAAGGCCTGGGTTTCTCCTGCCTGTCTCTCATGCTATTCCCCTCTCCTGCCCTCATAGGCTCTTCGGCTTTGTGGCACGGAAGCAGGGCAGCACCACAGACAATGCCTGCCACCTCTTCGCTGAGCTTGACCCCAACCAGCCTGCGTCTGCCATTGTCAACTTCGTCTCCAAGGTCATGCAGAGTGCTGGCCAGAAGAGATGAGCCCCTACGCCTTGCCCAGGGCCAGGGCAGTGGGAATGGGGCACGTGGGGAGGGGACCCAGGAATCCTGATCACCCTTGAATCCAGAAGGAGGACTTTGGACCAATTTTGGTGGAGAGAAGAAAGTGCAACGTGGGGAGAGGAAAGTGAATTGCAGAGGGGAGGGGGAGAGAGAGGAGAGAGAGAGAGAAAGGCAAAGATGGAGGAGAATAATTTAGATCCCCTAGGTTGATGGAAACTGCAAAAACCCCAAAGCCTCCAAAACTCACCAGGTCCGCCTAACTCCCCCCTTCATCTCTCCGAGAGGATGCAACTCCTCAAAGGAGATGGAACAAGCTTCCTTTGGGATCCATGTTTTTTGGGGAAACGGAAAATCTCCATCTCCCTAACCCAACTGCTTTGCAAGGAGAAATCAAGCTGAGAGAATCTTTTTCTGGCCACCTGGAGGATAGGTTGCCTAACCAAACAGAGCCAGCAGGGAACATCAAGCAGCCATCCTTTTTCCTTTTTGAAGTATTTCAGACCTGGGGAACCCCAAGGTCTCCTGGCTCTGCCTCTGAGTGTTTGCGCATGTGGGTGTATATATGTCCACATCCACCTGCTCACACATTGGTTTATATTTGCCTCTGCCAGCTAGAAGTATAAACAGCTCCACTTGTACGTGTCTCATGTATTTGCACACAAGTGTGCATCCTATCCAGAGAACGTTGGAGTTGGGGACGGACAGGGCAGCAGGAAGGGAACGTAAGTCTTGTCCGCAGGAACACCCCAGATGGTGGCTAACAGACTCTCTCTCTCCCTGTGCCTGCACCTCCACTCTAGAAGCCCTGAGTGCCGCCAGCCCCTTCTCCTCTACAAAGATGCTGGCAGGAGGGGCGACCACTACTGCGGCATTGACCTTGTTCTTCCTTGGCCAGGAGGCTAGGAGCTTTGGTTTGAGGGAATAAAGATACGTGTGCCCATTGCTTTGGGGAAAGAGATCCACCAGGGAGGGCGCCACTGGGCTCCGGCCTCTTCTGCTTTGTGTGTGGGTCAGCAGGAAGGTAGGCAAGTTGCTCCCACCAGCTCCCTGGCTTCTGCCTTAACCCCCATTCCTCAGCCCCAATCTTCAGTTTCTCGCTCCAGAACCAGCCTTATCTCAGATTTGCTACCTGCTTGATGCCTTTTTGGGTGCTGGGAATGGAGCCTTCCTGCTTTGCCCTGCCTGGCTTTGCCCTGTAGGGTCCCCATCTTGGCCTCATCCTGGGAAACCTGCTTCCAGAAGCCCTGCTCAGCAAGGCCAAGGGGAGAAGCCTGGAGTCCTTGTGCTCTGTTTTTGAGGTACCTCCTGGCTGGGCCTGCCAGGGCGACAACAGCTGAGCTCCTTGGATTTCTACCTGTGCATCACGTGACCTGCCCTCCATGCCAAAGCCTCTTTATTCCTCCTTCTGCCTTGGTTTCGCCAGCAGCGCCCAGCTGCCCAAGGAGCAGAGGGCAGAAGGCATGCCTTTAGATCGAAGGGCCCAGGGTCCGTTTGGGCTGCTGGGAAAACCCCTGACAACCACCCCAGGACTCTAAGCCAGAATGGAAAATTCACCAGGACTCTGTTCTGGAGTGATTTCTTAAGCCTATCGGGTTCCCATTTAGAGAGGCGTTGTACTGATATATAAATATATATAATATATACGTGAGACATACTGACAGAATCTGTAAGCTAATAAAATTTAAGAAAAGGTTAAAAAAAAAAGAATAGGTAAATTGACAAGAAGTATTTATTGTGTTCCCATATTGCTTTATTGCCTCCCCAGGCACCAACCAATCCTTATCTTTTTTTGTATGTATAACTAAAGCCTGAGAGGTAGGGGACCTTTATCCTTGGAGCAACCAGGGCCCGCCTTTCCCTGGCCTTGGCTTTCCTGGACTCTGCCCAGGGCTTGATGGCGAGAGGGTGCCCCCTTTCTTTCCTGGCAAGCCCAGGGTCCAGCAGTAAGCTCTCAGAGGTGTGTGGGGATCTGCCCCCATCGCCGAGGTCCTGAGGGAGCGTGTGAGCATGGGAAGGACTTGGGGTGTGAGTGGTGGACATGGGATGTGTGTATCTTTTATATTACTTCTCCTCCAAGGCGCTGTATCTGTGTGGACATTCAGTTTCAGGGAGTTGGAAAGGAGAGGGTCTGAAGAAGGTGGGGAGCAAGGGCTTCCCAGAGAGTGAAACTGAACTTGGTGACTGAGGCATCTCCAGAATTCTCTTCCTTCTGAGACATTCATGCCAGATACTTGGATTCTCCCCTTGTCTCATTCTCTAGGTAACCCCAGTTTTCATTCAATATAAAGGGAGATGTTTCCCCAATCCCTTCCTTTTTACAGATCGTCATTTCCCACTGAATAGCCCAGGAGGTCTCGTCTGCCTGGTCTGGACCAAGCATCAGGCCCTTGGGCAGCCAGACCCAGGCCCGGGACTGAGTCTGGAGTCAGCCTTCATACTTGCTTCCTCACATACCCACTGCCCACCAGCAGCCCACTTTCAGGCTTGGCCAGCCCACTATACTCCAGGCCCGTGCCATGTGTGACCATGCGGGAAGAACCCAAATCAGTGTTTGAAAGCTCGTCACCTCACTCCCCAGCACTCCTCTGGAAGGAGCTGGTTTCCTAAAGTTGGATATTCCTGATGTCGATGGTGTCTCGGCATTGGCTTGGCCTTTCCAGAACGATGGAGGAGGGTACCCCAGTCTCTACAGTGGCTCTCTCTGGGTCAAACACTGGTTGGGGAAGATACTGTAGTCCCCCACGTGATGGAGACTGTCCCACAGGTGGGCCTGTGCACCATTCATACCAACACCACACACAGCATGCAGTATATTCTTGCCAAAGACTTCCTTTCAAAGAAAGCACTTTTCATAATTATTGTTATTGTTTTGTAAATGCGTATCCTTTCCTCTCCTCTTCTCCCCCCACTCAACCTAATTTGCTGTTGTTTATTGTTGAATCTGTTTGTCGGCCAGGAGAGTGTTGTCTGGTCTTGAGAATGGGCTGGGGCGGTAAAGGGTCTGGGAGAAGTTGTCAAGAAAGAACGCGACATGGTAGTTGTGCTGCAGACCCCAAGCAGGCTCAGGCTCCAGGCCCGGCCCACGGTCTTCTGAGGCAGGCCTGAGGCCTTGCCACAGCCAGTCTGAATGGTATGTGGAGGAAGAGGACAGGGAAGTGACATCTCTGATTCAGCAAGGAGGGGAGCCCAGCAAGGCCCATGTGGCTGTTCCCAAATGGAGAACACGAGGGGAAGGTTGGGCATGGGGACAGCAGAGAGGTGACCCCAGAAGGGGAAAGGGAAGGAAGTAAGTTGTTCAATCACCCTCTAGGGTGACTGACATGCCACTGCCCTGCTGTCATGGTGGCCTGGCTCCCCCAGTGTTTGAGGGACAGATGTTTCATATCCTAGGTTTGGGAAAGGCCTTTTGATCCCACATCCTTACTTGAGCCTCTCCCTTAGCAGCTCTGGAAAGCTTGTGGACACTGACTGCCAGTTTTGCTTCTCCCTTGGTGGTGGAGGAATCCCTGGGAGTGTCAGGGACTGGCCAGGATAGTCAAGGGCAGGGGCACGGGCAGTGGGGCCTGCTGGCCATGGGTTGCGAGGAGGGAGCAGCCGGCTAGAGAAGTGAGAGACTTCTGTAAGTGGACTCTCGGGAGGGCGAGAGTAGGGGATTCTTCTGCCCCATTCTGAGGGACCTGAGTAGAGGTTGGGCAGTCTCCTTGGGCTGTCCTGGGGGCTGCAGAGGAGGCTGAGCATGAACACCACTGGTCCTTGCTCCAGACTTTTGCCTACCCGCTCTGCCTCCTGGATCTCTTCCCCCTCCTTTGGCTTTTTCCCAGCTTCAGGACCTACCTGGGGCGATCAGGTGGGCCAGTGCCCTATCCAAGAGCTGCCTCCCTCCCCGTGACCTCCCCACACTCGGGTCCTTGGAGCGGTTGTGGGCAGAGTCCCTGGAACCACCTCTTCACTCAGGTCCTAGAATTGTGAGATGTGAGTTTCCTTGTCCAGGGGTAACATAGGATGTGTGTGTAAGTGTGGATGTGTGTGTGCAAATTCTGCTCATCTCTTTAGGGAATTTGGGGGTGGGGTTGGAGATGGTGGGCAAAAGGATGTCAAGTTCAATATCACCCAGCAGTGAAAAGAATCAGGAGGCAAGGTGTGTAGGGCCATGGATAGGTGGAGTCTCAGTCTTGGTAATGGTGAGGATCAGGTCCCATGGGATTGGGCAGAGGCTGCTCTGTTCCTTCTTGATGCCTCTGTCCTAAATCTGCAAAATGTTGGAGGACCTCGGTTTATTTCCAAATCCCAGGCTCTTCCCAGCGGCCAGGTTATTGTGGAGGGATGTCCCAAATTTATTTTCTAATCAGTGTTAAACAGTTTGAAACTCTCCTGACTGTACGTTTGGCTTGTGTGTGTGAGACAGAGAGCACGTCCGTGTGTGCGTGTTGTGTTTTCCCATTTCCTCTCCTTTCTGACACGTCATTCAAAACAAATGTAAGAAATCCCTTACCACTTCCCTCCATCCCCTCTGACCCTCTCCGGGAAAAACCAAATAACCCAGCCTCCTCCCCATCCCCGGCTGTGTATTTATATAGATGGAAATATACTTTATATTTGTATCATCGTGCGTATAACCTTGGCCACCGTGTATAAATCCTGATGTATGCTACTTACCCTGGATATGAATGTACTGTACACTGATGCTGTCCTCACTTCCTGTACAGCTGCTTTGTTTCTTTGCGATCCATTGTATGGCTTTATAAATGATAAAGTTCCAAAAAATCTGTGCTGTCATCTAGCTGTGTTGTTTGGAGAGGGGTCTGCCAGGTCTCCGGTGAGCAAAAAGGGGGCCTCTCCCAGGCACCGGACATACGTGGCGGGCATCAGGAATGCTTCTGGTGCCCCAAATCTTCCCAGCAGCTTCCAGCATCCAGGTCTCAGTTCTGAACATCATGAGTTATTTATCTAGACTCTTTCAGCTGGAAGAGAAGCCCAACTCAAACTGGTTTAAGAAAAAAAGGAAATTTATCAGCCCAAGTGGCAAAGAAGTCCAGACACAGCTGGATCCAAGACCTCAAATAGTAGCCTCAGGAATCTGTCTCACTCCATCTCTTCGTTCTGAGTTGGCATAATTCTCAGGCAAGCTCTACCCAAGTGGTGGCAGATATGGCCACTAGATGCTCCAGGCTTTCATCCTACTGGCTTAGCAACCCCAGTAGAAGACGAGTTCTGTCCCAGTGTTTGCAGCCAAAACCTGGAACAAATGCTCACTGGTTCTGATAGACCCAGCTGGGGTCTTATGTTTAACTCTGAACCAATCCCTCTGGCCAGACCTGGGTCATATGACTCTCAGAGGCCTTGAGGAGCCAGAGGACTTGAGGAACCTTCTAAAACCAAGAGTACACAGAATGGGGGAATGGTTGGTCCCTGAAGGGATGGCGTTTATCGGAGGCAAGGGGGATAGAGGCTGTCAGTCAAAACCTATGGATGCCCATTAGGCGGTGCGTGTATAGCTCCCTTGTCAATTAAGTCCTGTGTCCTGGGATGAATTCTTTGGAATTCAGAAAGTTTAAATGTGGTATCTACCAAGGCACTGTGCAGGTTCTCTGGGAGATCAAAAAAACTCAACACATCTCTTATTTTTCATTGAGTTTACAGTAGCTGGGAGGGAGGCACAATCAGCTGACTTGAGCAAGTCTTGGCCAAGTACCTCCTACGTGCCCAGCACAGTGATAATTCTATAGGGCATCTGTTTGCAAATGTCGTTGTCTCAGGACTCTTTTACAGTCTTAAAATTTTTTCTGACCCTTTTCTGTTCCCCATCCTGGTCCAATGCATAAGGAATTCTCTGGATTGGCTAAAGTCCCCATCACCAACCTCTTTCCCACACCTCTTCTTCTGTGGGTGGGAGAATTCTGTCCTCTCCTCTTGTGACCAAAGTCCATGGTATTTTAACAAGTTCCAGGCTTGGAAGAGACCTCAAAGAGTCTTAATATCCATCCTCCCGTATCCAGGCAGGGCCCTGTCCCAAAGCATCCTGAAAGCAGAGTTCTATGAGGAAGGAGGAGTTTCCATAGTACCTCTGGGGAACAGGCCCCACTAGGGCCTAAAGACTGGGTGGAAAGGGAATGACCTGGAAAATGTCTTATAAGCTGGTTCATTTCAATGCCAATTGCTCTGAAATCTCTCTTCATGGGTATTGAAATAGAATTATGCCTTCCTCTTTTTTTTAAATTGTGGTAAAATAATCTAACATAATTTGCCATTTTAGCCATTTTTACTTGTACAATTCAGTGACATTAATTACATTCACCATGTTATGCAATCATCACCATTGTCTATGTCCAAAACTTTTTCATCACATCAAACAGAAACTCGGTGTTCATTAAGCAGTAACTCCCCATTCCTCCATCTCCCCAAGATCCTGGCAGTCTCTGATCTACTTTAGTCTCTATGCATTTGCCTATTCCAGATATATAAGTGGAGCCCTGGTGGTGTAGTGATTAAGTGATAGGGCTGCTAACCAAAAGGTCGGCAGTTTGAATCTACCAGCCATTCTTTAGAAACTCTACAGGGCAGTTCTACTTTGTCCTATAAGTGGTGTCATGCAATATTTGTCTTTTTGTGTCTAACTTATTTAACTTAGCATAATGTTTTCAAGGTTCATCCATGTGGCAGCGTATATCACATCATTCCTTTTTATGGCTAAATAATATTCCATTGTATGGCTATACCACATTTTGGTAATTGTCTGTTGATGGATATTGGGTTGTTTCCACCTTTTGGTTATTGTGAATAGTGCTGCAGTGAACATTGGTGTACAGGTATCTGTTTGAGCTCCGGCTTTCAGGTCTTTGGGGTATATACCTAGGAGTGGAATTGCTGGCTCATGAGGTAATTCTGTTTAACTTTGTGAGGAACCTTCAGGTTGTTTTCTGCAGCAATTGCACCGTTTTACATTCTCACCAGCGATGGATGAGGATTCCAGTTTTTCCATATTCTCACCAACACTTGTTATTTTTGGTTTTTCAAAGTAATAGCTACCTTAGTGGGTATGCTGCCATCCTTTTTTAAAGAAATGGATTTTTGTTTTTGTTTGTGGTAAATAGGCATGTAACAAAACATTTGCCATTTTACCATTTTTTACATGTACAATTCAGTGACATTATGTTCATCATGTCCCAAATTTCCCTCATGAGTTGGTGAAAATGACTATTTATGGTGCTTAGTAGTTTCTAAGCAGTTTGGCACCCTGGTGACGAAGTGGTTAAGAGCTCAGGCTGCTAACCAAAAGTTCAGCAGTTCGAATCCACCAGCCGCTCCTTGGAAACCCTATAGGGCAGTTCTCCTCTGTCCTATAGGGCCGCTATGAGTTGGAATCGACTCGACGGCACACATTAACACATCAACAGCAGTTTCTAAGCAGTTCAGAACGTGGAGAGGATATGGATGGTTCTAAAAGCTCAGACAGTACGTGTAGGACCAAATCCGTAGGTGTGCACCAGCCCATTCGACTGTGTTACGTTTGTTCGCAGGTATCTTCTTTTCTAGCTGTTTGGCCTAAGCATTTTGATGTCAAGGAGGCTGATGAGTCAGTCTCCAGGATTATATGGCCAATAATGGGGCAGGGCTTCCCCCACACGGAATCTGCCCCTGGCTGCAGTAATGAGGGCAGAGTGGTCCCATCAAGGGAGGTGAGAGAGAATCCCCCCGCAGCTCTGCAGATCAGACCCCTGAGGGGGCTGGTGCCACGCTGGCAGTAGGTAATGGACAAGCTGAGGTGTGGTAGCAAAGGGTCAGGGGGTTGGGGGCCTGAGGAGTGCCTGGAAGAATTGGGAGAGCCCGGCTTGGAGAAGAGGAGGCTCCAGGAAGATGGGCGCCTGCCGCTCAATGTTTGACGGCCTCTCGTGGACAAGGGAGTCAGCATTCTCTGGGGCTCTACACAGAGGGCCACAGCGTGGCCGGAGGTGGGAGAAACTGCAAGGGATGCTTTGGGAGGCATGAGCTTAGTCCCTGGAGGTGTTGCAGCGAGACTTGCAGAAGGCCATCCTGGTCTCAGTCCTAGGGATGGCTGCAGGCACTCACTAGGAGAGCGCTCTCTTCTGGCCTGAGGCGGGAGTGCAGCGCCGCCGGGCCCTGAACCCAAAGCGCCTCCTGAGGGCAACCTGGCCGGAAGCCACTGGCGTGGTTCTGGATTTGCTGAGACCTCGAAATGATTTTTCCCTCTCTGGGCCCCGGATTCTTCATCTGTGAAATGGGCGAATACCTATCCCACAGAGCTGATTTATGGTTGAGAGCAGGCAGCACCTAGCATGGTGCTCTAGGCCCTTCAGAAATAGGCGCTTCTCTTCCTTTCCCTGTGGTTCTTCTGCCTCCTCCGCACTATTTCCTCGGCCCGGCCCGGGGGGAGACTTGGCAGCAGGATGGAGCTGGAGCAGAAAACCTCTGAAATGATATTGATCTCGTCGGCTGCTGACTCCAGACCACAGCGTTTGGGGATGCTGTTAGCGCCGCCTCGGTGGCTCCAGCCTTTATTGGGGTTGAAAGATCATCTCTACCCATCGGGACAGGATGTCCGGGTTTTGGGTCCCTCCTCTCAGCCTCTGCTCCGTTCCCCGGTCAGGCCCCGAGAGAAACCAGGGAGTACCCGTAGTGTCGCCAGCCCTGGTCCTCCCCCAGCCCCAT